AAGTCCTTTGATGGGACAGCTGTAAGCTTATATCGCAGAAACCCAGGGTTCAGTTCCCCATAGTGAACATAGTAGATAGCCCAATGTGCAGAGGCGTCGTTAGGCACTGGTATACAGGGCCACTGCCCCGATTTTATTTGTCCCGAATTCCCAGAATAGAAAACCACGATCGATATCATACTGAAACGTCGAAAATTTCTGCATCTGTGGGCCCGAACACCGAATCTTTTAAGCACCTAGCGACGTCTCTGCCAATGTGGCTTTGCTCTGAAATAAACAAACTTATTTCCATGAGTTTCACATTGCACAGAAATATGTCAGGTAACGATGAACAATGACGTAAAGCATATGACATGCGCAGTGAGAGCTACTTGTTTGATATCTTTACTGTGTTAATAATAATAGTATTATGTTGTGTAACTGTTAATTTAACACAAATGTTTATGAATTAAATGGACAATTTGTTATAATTTTATGCGAGTCAAGAACAACAAAAGAGAAATGGACGATCGAGAACAGAACAGGCCTACAACAAACAGAAGAAGAAATGAAAATGCGGATCCTAACGGTGCTAATACTATGATTTGTAATTGTACTTCGTATTGCTACTTTACCTTGGCCATCGTTTTGTTTACGGTGGGGTCCGTTATTACAATACTGGCCCTAGATGATAGTGATAATATGTTTTCGAGTTTGGGACACATGTGGCTTGTTGGGCCAATTTTTATCAGCTCAGGGTTAATGGTTGCCGTGAAAACAATTATCTATCTTCGTAGGGAAACAATGCTTACATTTTTAGCAAGGCAGCGTTCATTCCTTCGGGTAAGTGACTGTCAGTGCCAATACCTGTACCGCTCACTACCAATAGTCAATACCATTACCAATACTAGTTAATAACATTGTTATTAATGCTGGTGGAAACTAAGGGCTAACAGTAAGCTGAGTAAGATATAAAGTTAAATGTTTGCTCTAGTCTATATTAATTCATTTTATTTTTAAAGCTTTACTATAGTATAAGCAAGAGAACGTTTCTTGAATTGTTACTTTAACTTAATCATTTAATGGTTTGATAATAACTTGGATAGCTTAACCATCACAGTGGCAAGATACTTTCTTCAGACATGCCATTGTTCTCTTCTGTATTAACTTTTCCTCCCAATTTTGATACATCAGATCTATTACTTTGCAGTGACTATAATTAAAGGTCATTTCCCAAATATTTTGCCAGGTTAATAGTTGATCCCAGTCATTCTGTAATACCTCATCAACCTCATGCTGATAGAAATGTGCAAGAGTTTAATGTCATCAGCACACTTTACTAGTTTATCATTAATGTGAGTGAAAAAAAGCAAATGTCCAAGCACTGATCCCTGAGGCAAAGTTTGACTTCTTTTTTTTTTTCTTTTTTTACTATTATTTTTTTTACTATTATTTCAAATGCTTGTGAAATGCCATCATCAGTCTGTAATTGGACTGCCTACCATTACAAATAAATATAGTATAATTAATGAAAGAATCCCCAACTGTGTAAACTTTTTGATTATCTTGTGCTTTACGGTAAGCAGCCAAATATTGTAATTTATTGAAGATACCTGAATGCTTAATGAACCTGTCTCTATAGCTCTTTTGGCCCAGGTGGTTAGGGTGCTTGACTTGCATCTTTTCAGGGTTCCTGCCATTGTTTGTTTCTGCCCTGTGACCCTTCTTCTATCAGGGAACTCTTGCCTTCTGCTCTGACTGGAAGGCTCCATCAACTCCTTTGATTCTTGTATTCTTCCCTGGATGTTGATGCTAGCAGGCTTTATCATGTTTTATCAGATCAAATTTGTTACCTGTTTTATTCACTCTCTTTTGTCTTATTTTTGATAATCTGTGGACGAGATACTTCAAGCTGACATATGGATGATTCCCCACACGTTTGTCATTCATTATCTTCACCATCTATCTGTTTCATTACTGGTGGGATTTTGGCTCCTTGTTGTCACTATTCTTCTATCTACAGATTGTTTTTAAGAAGAGGTAGTGGATTTCTTTTTATTTCTCTTTCCCCATTATCAGATCCCACCAGGTGGCTGGTGTTGCCATCCAAGGTATACTTATTTCCCAAAATTTGCATTGGGCCAGGGGTAATAGAAAGTTCTTAGCCCATCTGGTCTGGCATAACTAGTGCTCACTGTTGAGATGGGGGGTATTCCGTAAGACCACTAATGGTATCCTCATGGTATTTGCACTACACAATTACCTATTTCAGACCATACAGTACCATGGACTATCTGGCACCAGACTTGCACTTGCTGGCTTTTAAGAATAGTGTTTCATGGTCACCCATTGCACTGCCTCCAGTAAAAGACCTTTCTGTCAGGCATCCAATGGGGATCTGGGCACTTTTCCAGATCTCTCCACCACAAATTTCCCCCCTTCTTCAAGTGTAGTATAGGAGACCCTTGACACATACCAGTTCTTAACTGCTATGGTGGTGGACCTTGGAGAGTTTCTTACTGTCGTGTACAGTACCAGAAGGAAGTAGGGCATTGGTAACACTGTCTGTGTAATGCAGGTCATCCCTATAACAGCTAGTGTGCTCTCCTCCTGCAGCAACAGCCTGTCCAGTTGAGTTGAGGTGATACCACACTGTAAACACATGCTCTAACCACACTACATTTATTGGCTCGTTGACCACTTGTGTGCAACTGATCAGTTGATGATGATCTAATTTTGCCCGTCCCTATGACACCTGGAGCTCTTTTGCCTTTGCCTTTTTTTCTTTTGGGTGAAGAATATACTGTAATCAAGTTGAGATGTGGTCTCCAATTGGTGTGTCCCTGTGGAGCACCTACCATCTGGTGTCACAATCTATGCACTTTCCCTTTGGGTGCTTTCTGCAAGTAGTTCATCTAGGTGTAATTTTTTACATTGGCCCCTCCACTGCTTCAGTGTGAAAATCTAGCTGTTGTGTGTGAGGAACTGAGATATCATCTTGGAAGTTAACATTTTCTTTACCTGAAAATATATTTTTGATAGGTACTCACCTCGAAATACTTTCCCACCTGTTCTCCCCACTTCTGGGAACATTTTCTTCTTGCCTTGTCTAAGATTGAAGTTACCTTGAGTGCAAGTGCTTAACATGTTCACTGCTAAATTCTCCACCGGTGGGTCACAACACAACCGTTAGTTATGAACTACATGATCATGGGTCACAGACAATTATTTTTCAAAGTCAAATTTCTCTTGTGACATATGAGTTTGGGACACTGTAACTGTTCCTTAGCACTCTTGAATGTTGAATGGGAGTTACTGTGCAATGAGGTGGTGTGGCCCTCCAATTGGTAGAGGGCTATTCATCATGCACTAACACAGTTCATGTTATACAAGTGTAATTTAGGTGGGAGTTAGCTCAAGATTATTGACATGCAAATCTCATAGGCAAATGCATAAGGATTGAAGCTATTCTGTGTGAGGAGATGAGTATCTATCTGAAATACATTTTCAGTTAGGAAAATGTTGAATTCAAACCTAATTGCACAATTATTTGTAATCAATTGCTTTCCAACTTCTATGGAGGTTTGTAATAAATCTAAAATGCAATCCTCCCTAATAGGTTTCGTAACCATTTAATGAAAAAGGCTATCTCAAGCAGTTTCAAAGAATCTGATATTGTGACACTTAGTTAGAATAATTAATGAAGACAAAAGTTAATATTTTCTCTTCTGCACAGCTGGAAAGTTTTGCATGTAAACAAAACAACTTCTTTGATTTTTTTTTGTTAAGTGTTTGTGGTTAAATTACATCTGTTTGGAAGCTACAGAAATTTTCTTCGATGAGATATATTAGGTAAGCTTGTACAGTTTAGAGATAAGTTGAATGGATAGCAAAGAAACTCTAATGTAATGTGGCATGACTGGAGATTGCTTAAGGTTTAATAAAGATATCTTTTTTTTATGTTTAATTCTTTGTTTAAAATTATGGTGTTTTTACTTTTTAATAGATATTTATTGAGTTGCAGTTTTTGTAAACTATTTTTTTTTTTAATTTTGTTCACCAAATAAAATAAATTCATCAAATCAGATATGTTTACTGTTTGGTAATTATGGTAAGCATTTGTAAAATATTGTGATGATTCAAATCTTTATTGAATATCAGTTTTATGTTTATCCTATTCAAACAGCACACATAAATAAATTAGACTGCCTAACTAGCTATTTAATTATTTGTAGTTGCAATCCTGATGTATTTTAAATAAAAACATTATTATTCTTATTGTGAGAGTAAAACATGTTTTTTATTATCAACTTATTTGATTAACAGATTAGTTTGAGATTACTGCATATTTGAAAAACAAACAATGGTGATCTCATGGTGGTATTTAATAGATATTAGTGATTCATTTGCCAAGTGAGATATGCTTATAGAACTTTTTGGAAAATCTTCTTTTTTTGTGTGGTTAACTCTAGAAGAGATCAATCATATGAACAATGGAATAATTAGAAAATCACTTTAAAAACCAAAACAATGCCAAAGAAAATAGGAAAGTTAATATCACATTCCAATAATGTAGTGGTTGTAAATGCTAAGATGGTAAACACCCATTTTTTCTTTTATTGATTATATGTGGTATAGGGAGTGTGGTGTACCAACCAAATAATGAGCCTGTTGATTAATTGATTTGCAAATACTACTCAACCTTTGGAATGATTTGCTTTTAGATGTGGTATATGGATATATAGTTAATTTAAGGGAGTTTCAGGGTAGATTTGATAAGGATTGGATTTGAGTGTTTTATTTTAGATTTTAGCATGTTAGATGGGATGGTCTAGATAGATCAATAGATCTTTGTTTTTCTTAAATTATATGTACATGTATATATTTAAGTGCAAATAAGTATGCATTTATAACTCCTGAAAAGGCTTTTAAAATACATACAGAAATGCTAAAATAAATCTAAAATCAAAGAACCAAATGACCTGAGAAAAAGTTTCAGCCTTCTGTAACTCGCATTGATGTTCGTGTCAGTATGCATACTAAAAACTATTGTTTTGTTGTTAAACACTATATGCAACAGATTGTATATTTATTTAATTATACCAATAATGGAATTTGGATAGTAATATTAATTTCATGTGTGCTTGAGTCTAATGCTTATGCTCTTTTGGTGCTGATATTTCTGAAAAGTGAATATGATGATGATGTTTTATCCATACTCATCTTTCAAAAATGATTCATGTAATTATTTATAAGCAGCAATTATATCAATTAATGAAAATAACAATTAAACTTATTAATCATAATTAGTGTATTTGATAGTTAATGTTTTGATTATTCCAACAACAGAACTATTGAAATTATAATAAATCAAATTACAATGATTGTCACAAAAATAATCCACTAATTAAAATTAGTATTTCTAACAATCAAATAAACAAAATTATGATGAAATCAATTGGTGTTAAGCACAAACTTATATAACAGGTTATCTGTGATCTGCCTAATTTTACTGTTATAAGTTTGTTTGTTTTTTAATTTGTTCAAATTTGGTGATTCAGGGATTGGGCTTTATGATTTGAGGGCAAAGCTTAAGGTTCTCTTGGATAAATAAGGATAAAGTATATATTGATACATCTAAATGAAAACTTGTTCCAATTTATTTTGTGTGACATTTCGAGCAGATGCTCGTCATCAGGTAGTAAATTATCTGGCAGCACATGCCACATTTTTTTTTTGTAAGCTTTTGCAATAAGGAAGGAAACCAGGCAGCAACATCCACTGCCAACTTTTTTGTCGTTTCTTGTACATATCATGGTTTTTAGCAACAGTGTACTAATCAA